CACACAAACACACACACACACACACCAAAAACCCAAAAAACTCCAAACTCCAAACCAAACAACCAACAAAAAAACAGGCGTCTCATCAAGGTGAAGGAAGAGTGGCTTGGGGGTGAAGCTCAGTGAAAAGGTGTATGCTTTGCACTGGAGACCTAGGTCCAATCCCAGCACCGCAAAAGCTAGCAAGCATATAAACAAAAGAACCCACTGATTTATTTGTTTGCTAGAGTAGAGGGAGTAAAATCTACACAGAATTGGGTTGACATGTGAGAGGGAAGTAAGAAACTGTGACATTATCAGCTCTGGTGTAAAGAGAGCAAATGATCACTACATAGAGCGAGGCATGAGGTCGGGTTTTTCTTGATTTTTCCAGATGGGTGATAGAATACATCTAAAGCTCTAAACTTGGCTGGAAGGAAGTCAGTAGAGGGGGAGGAGAAGGAGGGAGGAGGGTGAGCACAGGATCCCCCGTGCTGAGGAGGGAGGAGCAGCTTCAGTCCAGAGGGTCACCACAGGAGACCTGAGCATAGCCCCAACAGGCACAGGCTGTGGTAGCGTGGATGTCAGGAATGCTGATGAGGTTCATGGAAGTTCACAGACGCTCCCATTTTCTCCTTGGAGTTGGAGACTGCAGGAGATGGTGAGGGCATTTGGGGTTTGAAGAAAGAAGTCTGAACTAACAGTTGCGGGAACCTCGTACGAGTGGCATGGGAATCTGAGCCTGGTGCTCTAAATCCTGTTTTTGCCTGCGTCATGCACAGAGGGTTTTCTTACAAATACAGATACATGGAGGGAAAGATACAGGAAATAATTTATTCTTGGTTTTATTTTTAACAAAAACATCAGGAACTAAAACCCTTCCCTACCAATGACACTAAAGTGGACAATGGCTTCCTACGACACATGAACATATTAGTTTTTCCTTCAGTAGACTTCATTTAGGGGGTTGGAGGGAGAGTCCAGAGGGTTCACATATTGCACAGACGCTCAGGTCTGATCTCTAGTACTGCCTGGTTTCCTAACGCCACTAGGAGTGACTCCTGAGCACCAAGCTGAGAGTAACCCCTGAGCACTGCCAGGTATGACCCAAAAAGCTAAAATACATACTTCTTTTAAATGCATTTAGCACTTGATACCTTCTTCTTTCCCACCCTCCCTTCCTTCTTTCCTTCCCTATCTCTGACTTCCTTCCTTCCTGCTTTCCTTCCTTTCTTCTTTTGGGGGGAGGCGAAGGGAAGCATACCTACTAATGCTCAACGTTTACTCGACTCTGCACTCAGGGGTCACTCCTGGTGGGATGGAGGGATGTGGTGCTGGGATAATTGAATCCAGGTGGGCAGAGAGCAAGGCAAGTGTGCCTTACCCACTGTACTATGTTGCCAGCCCTTGATACTTTTTTCTTACTGGAATTTCATTTGTCCCATTTTGGAACTTAGTGACCAATCTTCCAACTTTTGTACACAGCACTCCATTTTTGCTTAGTTCCATTTATTTGACCCATTTACCTTTTTTTTTTTTCCTGAATGAGAATCCCTAAGCTGCTGCTCTTTGTTCTACTTCCCATCGTTCATACTTGTGGAAAATGAAAGGAAGTACAAGGTTTTAAAAATGCCTTAAGCCTCATGTATTAAACAAAGCCATGTTATGATGTCCTACCTGGCAGTTAACACATTTTTACTATTGTTGCTGTAATATTCCAGCTAAACTGATAAAATTTATAGTGAGGCAAAATTAGTTTAAAAGTTCTCTAGCAGATTGGAGAGACAGTACTGCAGATAGATGTACACCGCCAATCTGGGTTCGATTCTCAGCATCATATATGGTTCCCAGAGCTCCATCAGGAGTGATTCCTGAGCACAGAGCCAGGAGTAAGCCCTGGATAGTATAAGTGTGCTCCCAAAATGTCTGAACAAGGAGTTCTTCCTGCACCAATTCTGGGAGAGGGAGATAGAAATAGATGGAAGAGGAGACGGAAGTCACTTGGAATCATGTGTCTAAGTCCTCAGTTTATTTGTTATCTTAAATTAGTAATAGCACTGTAGCACTGTCCTCCCATTACTCATCGATTTGCTTGAGCAGGCCCAGTAACGTCTCCATTGTGAGACTTCTTGTTACTGTGTTAGACATATCGAATACGTCACGGGGAGCTTGCCAGGCTGTGCTGTGCGGGTGGATACTCTTGGTAGCTTGCTAGGCTCTCCGAGAGGGGCAGAGGAACGAACCTGGTTCGGCTGGGCCGGCCGCGCACAAGGCAAACGCCCTACTGCTGTGCTAGAAAAACATGGCTATTCGATGAGATATACTTAACAAATTTTTATTTAAGTGGGAGTGTTTAGGCCATGCCGGGTGATGCCTAGGACTTACTCCTGGCTCTGTGCTCAGGGATCACCCTCGGCAGTGCAAAAGATTTTTCCTGTTTTGCATCATGTAACATCAATGATGTAAGGCCAAGAAGGTATATGACTTATGGACTATTACGCTCACTAGAATCTAGTGCAGTATTTAATATGAGCAAACTCTTTAAGATTTCTTGATATCACAATGCTGAGGTTGATAAATGTTTTACTCAATGTTTGGAATACTCAGAGTTTTATAGAAGATTATCCAAGCGTGCTGTGTTTTGTCTTCTTTCCCAAGATAGATATAATTTGCACTATCAGGAAGAGGCCAACTATTCTGAGCGGATTTGACTCTTTTATGGTGTAGATGCCTAAGTTAGCATCTATTAAAGTAATACATTAGTCCCTGCACCCCTTGTATCAGCAGGGAATAGGTTCCACAACACCAAGTAGATGCTTGAGGTTAGAGAGCACTCAACAGTATATATACTAATATATTGTCCTTCCCTCTCCCCATCCCCCCCTTTTCTCTTTTAGGCCACACCTGTCAGTGTGCAGAGCTGGTTCTGTACTCAGGGATGACTCTAGGTGGGGCTTGGGGGACCACATGGGGTATGTGGGGGGTGGAATATAGGTGAACTGCAAGCAAGGCAAGCGCCTTACTCCATGTACTATTGTTCTGGTCCTATGTTTTCCTTTTTAAATACTGATTAAAAAATGTATAAATTAGGCAGAGCAAGACATTTTATAACAGCAATCACAGTAAATAGACTATTATCCCAGAGGCTATGTGAATATGATCTCTCTACAAACCTTTTTGTTGTGACTGTTGCTACAGAGACCACACCCTGCAGTGCTAGGGCCGGGACACGTGGTACCCAGGGTTGAAACCAGACATATAAAAGGTATGTAGTCTACCACTTGAGCCAAAACCCTGTGCTCCCCAACATATTGTACATAGTGTGTTCAGACCATGTTGATGGGCAATTGAAATGGTGGATAAGGGGAACTTCTGTATTGTTCTCTTATCTGGAGCCCCACTCTGGCCTGGCCTCTATCCCTTATGTCACTCCTCTTGCCTCCTTCCTATCTCGCCTGAGGGCTGACTGCCAGTTTCTAATCTTTTTTTTTCCTGCCTTAGGCATCCACCAGGTCTCCTTTTATCTCCTCACTTGAAATGGAAAATTGCTGCAGCTTTCTCTTTGACTTTCAGTTTCAACTCCTGTTCACTCAGGCCAGTCAGTATGTCACCTTTACTTATTTATACTTACAAGCTTTCTCTCACTTACTAAAAAGAACTGAGTGACTGCCTCTGTGGCCACTCAGTGTTGAAGTTATTTTGGGCTTTGTGTGCTGGGTTAGGCTGGGGAGGAAACCCGAAGTAAGTTTCATAGCTAAAGTTTATCTTTGGTCTTCAGGTCTCAGATATATTGCAATTGAATTCTGGCCGGGAATGCAATTAATGTGTGTATTCAAAATATCATTTGGTTATTTGAAACAATTCTGAAAAATAAAAAGAAACATATTTTAGTAAAAATAGCATTTCTCTGTACTGTTTCCATGTTAAAATAAACTACATTGTAGGTAAGTGAAAGTACTAAATTCACTTTTCCTCCTTTATATTCCAAAAACCAACTCTTGGTCTGTAAATTTCAGGTAAATAATAATCATGAAATCATCAAGATATAACTGAAAGAAAGAATTGTGTCAGAATAAAGATAGAAAAAAAGAGAGAAGACTCTAACTTTCAGAAAGCAAAAATGTTTATCTGAAATAACAGGTAAACTTGGGGAGACAGCAGCTGTATGTTTCATTACTTTATCATTAGTATTGTTTTTGGTTTTGGGCGGCAGGCTTTGGGGAACCATATATAGTGCTGGGGATCAAACCCAAATCAGGTGCGTGCAAGGAAAGCACCTTAACAGACAAAGCAAAGAAAAGTTGTTACCAACCTAGAGAAGCGAGTCAACCCACTCACTGAACAAAGAGGTCCATTATAGAAATTTATTTTAATGAAGTTACTCAGAATACCCACTTGCTTCACTATCACTATCACCCCGTTGTTCATCGATTTGCTCGAGTGGGTGCCAGTAACGTCTCCATTCGTCCCTGTCACGTGCTAGTGTAGCCTGATTGTATACTGGGGGGTCTTTCAGGGTCAGGGGAATGAGGACCATCATTGTTACTGTTTTTGGCATATCGAGTACACCACGGGTAGCTTGCCAGGCTCTCCCATGCGGCAGGATACTCTCTTGCTTAAATGATGTAAATTAATCAGAAGAGGTAAGGTTGGCTAATACCATCTTTATCAAGTATTTGTAAAGGTTATACAGAGAGCTGGGAAATCTTTTGTGTGGTGCATCAAAGACACAGCATAGAAGTGAATAATGATTCCCCTTATATTTAGATCTTGAATTAGGTTAAGTCCTAGGCTGCTTCTAGCCAGTCGATCTTTTTCAATATGTGGGTGGTGCATTAAGATTATGGTTCTTCTACAATTTTCTTTGTGTATTCCTATAGAGTTCACATTCCTCAATTGTCTTATAGATTACTGTTTTTCCTTTGGAATAGCCAATTAGCAAGTCAAAAGGGAGTTATTTAAGGTAATAAAAAAGGGGCTGTGGTGTAACTTAGGACATTTAGAAACAGCACAATGATCGCTCCAAGTTAGAGTTATTTTATTTTTATGGTGCCAGGGATCAATGTCAGGGTGTCACGCTCACCAGGTCTCACACTCGCAAGTGCTCTACCACTGAGCCACATCCCTGGGGGCCCCTCAAGTTACGGGTAAGGTGAAACTTTCCGCTAGAATAATACAGAAAATGATTTTTCACTTTAAAGAAAAACTAAGAATATTAAGTTTCCCTCTCCAGGCATCTTCCCTCAGGCACTGAGACTGCAGCCATCCAGTAAATGGGACAGGCAGAAAGAGGAGAGTTGATCAGGCAACAAATTCGTCAATAGCTAATTTTTAGCAAGTCTGGCAATGAGATCTTTCCATTCTCCTCTCTTCTTTGTGATGTACGAAGGGGTGAGTAGCTGTAATAGTGATTCTGGCTGATGCCTGAAGTAGTTCTGACACAAGGTCTCAGCGTTACATATCACATACATTCCACAGTCATAGCTGTTTTGTTGAGCAGGGGCTTTCTCTTCCACAAAGGCCACTTTGACGCCCTTTCTGCCTAAGAAAGCCTCCAGTTTCTGGGCTACCTGCTTTGCATGGACTGAGTTGCTCTTGCTATGGGAATCATAATGAAAGAAGCTATTTTTTTCTTGAAGATAAACCAACAGACTCCAATGGGTTCCCCCAGCTGCCTGGTTAGAATTATCATTGATGGCTAAAAATACAACTCTCTTGTGTGGAAGGTCCAGGGGTTCAAGGAACACAGCCAACTCCGCTGGGTTGCAAGTGCACTTGATGAACTGGGTGACTTCAGGGCTGATGAAGCAGACATGGTCAGAGCAATCATGATACTGACTGTTGGCAAAGTACTCGAAGGCAAACCCAATAATATGGTCATTGAGCCAGCTTGGGGGATCCAACAGTGAGACATCTGATTGTCGCAGTAGACTGTCCATGTAACTCAGGACTACGGGGTCCATCTTGTCCTGACCACGGCTGCTCAGAAATTTCAGAAGCTGAAAAAAGGAAGAAGACAACATTTACTACTGACTAAGATGTGTGATCATAAAATGGGGATCATAAATAGTAGGTAGTCTTACAAAGTTTGGGTAAAAATGAAATATAATTGTAAATGTTTACCTTGATGCCTGACTAAGAGGAACTATTCTTGAAATTAGCTTATGTGCTGCTGGTTAACAATTAATTAGAATGAAAACTCTGGAAATTTTCCATGATGAAACAGAAAGCATAAATTTTTAATTTTCTCTTTAAATGCAGATTGTTTAAAATTATAACTAAATTATAAAGAATGCCTTACCAAACTCCAGAGCAACAACCATATATTGTGCTCTTTAATAAATATGCGTAATAAAGACTAATTATTTTTATATTAAAGATGAATTTTCAAAGCATCTATGAAAAAAACATTGCCAATTACCAAGGAAAAGTTTCTATTAGACATTAATTTTCAGACCAAAGACAAAATATTATTTTCTTATTTATAATTAAAGTAAATGTTATTAGAAGTGACAGTGAATGAAAATGATAGTGATTAAAAGGAACTATAATTTCAAGAACAAAAAATCAGGAGGCCAATATAGATAAAATTCATTTCTGATTCTTTCTAGTGATGAGTAAGAGTGATATTATTATATGTCTACCCATTTTCATCTTTAACCTTGAGGGGTGAAATAATGTCCATGTAATGTTTATACATGTTAAAAATTCTTTTGGCATTGATAGGTGGTGTGGTACAGGAATCAGGAGATCTGGATTTGGTCCCAGTTCTAACACTGAATTGTTAGTATCATTGTAAACAAGTAATTTATAAGATTTCGTCTTTATAAAATTTGGTCAATTGTCTGCTTTACATGCCTCAAAGTGATATAGAAAAGGCCAAATAATTGAACTCAGAGATTATTAAAAACAGAATTAAAACTTCAGTGAGATACTTAAAAAATCTAGAGAACTCAAAACCATCAAAACAAATGAGGTTTGGAAACAAACATCCATTCATTTTATCTTGTCCAAACAATAGCCTGATTAAGAGTAGGAACAAGACAAGTTGCATGATAAGATTAATATGCTCATAATCACCTGATTATGAGGTAAGGTGTTAATGGAGACAAGGAGTCTGTAAGTGTGAAAGGTATTATGGTAACCGAGTCCAACAGAGTTAACTACTATGCACTAACTTGGCAGCATAACAATATTTCTAAATATCACCAAGTAATAAACTATCATATGCAGATTGACAATACAAAATAAAGCATACTGTAAGAAAATAGTAATGCTTCAATGAAAGTTTCGGCTAGAATTTTGAGATTAACTTAAAATATTATGGCCATTAGACCATTTATTTTGTCAATTGGTCATATACATGAAACAATGTAATTTTATGACACAAGCATTTCCATATCATCAAAACCCTTCAAAAAGCTATATATGAACTGGAGAGATAGTTCAGTGGGCTGAGCATATGCTTTGCATGCTCAGGTCTGGATTCAATCTTTAAAATCACATAGTCCCTGAGGCCAGAGTCAGAAATAGCCCCTCAGTACTACCTGTTGTGGTTCCCACCCCAGCCCCTCCAAAAAAACCCTCACAAAACATCTAAACAGAAAAATAAATAAACCTCTTAAAAAAACACAATGAAGTAACCACAAAGCATCAAATACAGTTTTATGTGCATACAGTATATCATAAACTACATTTTCAATAATAATATGAGGTTGTTTATGGTAAAATTAAAAGAGCATGAATTAAGATTTTCATAAGAGGAAAGAATAACTTGATCAGAGACATAAACTGGAGCCAGAAATGAAGTTAACGAGGCATAGAGCACATTTGTTATGGGTGGACCAAAATTTGGCTCTAAGCTTTTTGGCAGCTAACCAGAGAGTGTTAAGTTAAACATTCACAATGTCCATAAGGTAAAAATACAGCATTTGCTCAGGAGAGGTAAAAGCATGCTTTGTATTAAGGTTAGACAGTTTTCCCTCAAGAGATTTTCATAAAAGACACAGTGTATCACAATAAAAAAATATATAACATGCTCGTAACAGATGAAGCAGTCAGAGAATTGTTTCTTATAATGCTCCTTAATATCCTCTACTAAGGATATTAATAAAGTATGGCAAAGAAGTAAACATCAACTTAGTAAAAGCAATTTTGTGGAGGCTATTACTCAGTTTGATGCTGATCTAATTTGATTTGAGATGGTTATGAAAAGGGGATGACCGCATATGCATCAACCAAAACTATCCAAATCTCTCTCCCCCAGCCCTTTGATGACTGTACATAGGGGCAATGCACTGTACTGACACCAGAAACCTGCTCTCTATTTTGCTGTCTGAACACGTAGTAACTCCATATTCACTGGTAACCAAACTAGAGATGGGAGCGTACAAAATTAGAGTCTGAACAGAAAGGCATCTCACCTTGGATGGAATGTAAACAGGAAGAACTAAGATTTTCTTTAGAAAATAGTTACTGTGTTTTGTCTGCTTGATTTTGAAGACCATCAACACAGAGAAAATGGGCCAAGAGAGAACAAAATTCAATTTCAAACAACATTATTACAATAGTTTAATCCTAACAATTCTACAGCAAATGAAACCAAAATAGCCTTTGATCAAACCACACTTGCTGTAAAAAGAACTAAACTGTTTATGTGAAGACTTAAATTTAAAACTCAGTTCTTCACCAGCCATGTGAGCATATGTAAATGATTTAATTTTTGTTTCCTTTTTTGTAAAGTAGAATATTAACGTTAACATGACCTTTATTGAGTACTTGTCAGTATAAAATAAACATTGGCAACTAATATTATAAATATATATAAACTATTTCCAGTTAACAACTGTGTCATCAGGAAATTAATATTCCAGCAACTGATAACTTCTATTTAAGCAGTGCTTGAATTTTTCCTATGTGCTAAGGGTTGGAAATAGAGAACAGGAATGAAATAATCAAAGTTCCTGCTTCATTAAGCTTGACTACTGTAAATGTGGGCTGGAGCGATAGCACAGCGGTAGGGCATTGGCCTTGCACGCAGCCGACCTGGAGAGCGGGGTTCAATTCCTCCACCCCTCTCAGAGAGCCCGGCAAGCTACTGAGAGTATCTTAACCTGCATGGCAAAGCCTGGCAAGCTACCCGTGACGTATTCAATACGCCAAACACAGTAACACCAAGTCTCACGATGGAGACGTTACTGGGCCCGCTCGAGCAAATCAATGAACAACGGGAGGACTGTGACCATGACTGTAAATGTGTACAATAAATACGTAATGATATATATATATATATCGGCTTTTGGGCCACATCTGCTTGATATCAGGGCTTACTCCTAGCTCTGTTCTCAGGATCACTCCTGCCAGATTTGGGGAACCATACCGGGATGCTGGGATCAAGCCTGAGTTGGCCGTGCGCAAGGCACGTGCCTTACCTGCTGTACTATCTCCCAGTCTCTGATATATGATTATTAAAAAAAAGTTATTCCAATTTTAATTTAAGCACCATGACTTACAATGCTGTTAAAAGTAACAGTTCAGGCATACAATGTTCCAATACCATCACTCTAGTGTCAATGTCCCTCTACCGATTTCTCTAGATCCCCTTGTATCCCAACCACCTTAACAAATTCATTTTTGTAGACCAACTGGGTTGTTACTATTGCCCCGTTTCCCCCCCACCCCAGTACCTTAACTATTTTATTTTTCATCCATATGAGAGGAATTGTTCTGTATTTGTTTAGCACGATCTGGTTTCATATGCGTAAGATGAATTGCAGGATTTCTTACATCTTTTCTTAAATCTGAGTAGCATTCCAGTGTGAAAATACAATTCTTCTAGTCACCTTCTGAATACCAAATGTTGGCATTGTGTGAAAACAAGGAACTATTTAGTCAATCAAATAAGAAACACATAAGAAGCACAAACAAAAGGAATGGGAATTTAATGGAGGGAACATCTGGGGAAATACGGGAAGGAAAGTTTAGATCAGGGCAGACTTCAAAGAAAGACTGGCAATAAATGGACTCTTGAAAGGCAAGCAGCCCAGTGGCATGGAGAAGGCCACTCAGTTGGCAGAGAGACAAAGAAAGCACTTTCAAGTATGTAGCTCAGGCAGGCTGGAATGAAGTGAAAGTAGGGATCTAGATGGGGGTTAAAGGAAGCTAAGTGATGACAGTCTAAATTCCAGATAAAGGAGATTGGAATTTGTACTGGAGGGAAAGGGTAGTCATTAATGGCTAGGTCAATGATTTAAGAAGATGAATAACTCAGCCAGTAAATAGGACTAATTGGTAGGGAAGAAACTGGAGGTAGGGACCAATTAGATTCTCAGCTGAAGCTAATGGCAGGAGGAAATGAGCTAACCTTTGGGGAAATGGAGGGGGAAAAGAAAGAGAGGCGAGGGGGAAAAGACTGCAGAAAGAGAATTGGTATGTTACCAGAGGAGAGGAAATAAAAGAAAGAATTATAAACTGTTAGGGAAATTGAAAGGATGACAATTTCATTATTAGTGGGCAGAGAAGGAGATGGAATGGGATCTAACAAAAGAATGAGAGTCATGCAGAACCACTCTAGGGATATTTCTATTGGAAAGCATGGTTCTTGGCATGTCTGAGGTACAAGAAATATTTTCCAGGAAAGCGGAACAAGGGAGTCAGATAATAGAGACTGGGGGTGCGAGGGGAGGGGAGAAACAAGGCTTAGGGTTTTTACACTGTCCCTAATATCTCCGTTTTTGCTTTTAATTTGTGTTTTTATCTATTTTCCTCTGTTGATTAAGTCTCATTAATAGTCAATTCTAGAATTAAAACATCTATGCACCTGTTCTTGATGGATGGGAAATAACATTGGGAATGAATTGGTGAAACTCTGTATAATTTTATAGCACCATAGCACTGTCCTTTCTGTTGTTCATCGATTTGTTGGGGCGGGCACCAGTAACGTCTCCATTGTGAGACTTGCTGTTACTGTTTTTGTCATATTGAATACATCACGGGGAGC